GCCTGTCATCTCTCTCTCTCTCTCTCTTTTCCTCTCTCTCTCTCTCTCTCTCTCTCTCTCTCTCTCTCTCTCTAAAGAACAAATAAAATTTGAGCGTCCTTCTAAATATCTTACGACAATCACTGGCAACTTCTCGAGCGCTTTATTCACAAATAAAGATTTGCCGATTCGATAAAGGGCCGTGGAATTGTTCGAACCGAACCGAACCGGCCGCGAACGAGTGTCGAATCAAATATCCCCATTGCCGATGGGGGACCATCGGCCGATTTTACATCGTCGAGTTTACTCGAGCGGCCGCATCTCGGATGTGCAGGATGCACGCGGCATCGCGTAGCCGATAACCCACTTCGGCATCTGGAATCGGATCCGAGATATCCAAAACCCGATATCCGGGAGGGCACGGGGAGGTCGTCGTCGCCTGTGGTAGGAGAGGCGAAAAAAGGCGTGCAGGCGGATACCTCGACGACGGCCGCGCGCGGTGTGTTGTCGGAATGCACATAAACTCGCGGATTTAACCACCGCGTTGCACCGCGTCGCGACTCGACGGGGGCACCGGCTTGGAACGACACGCTCCTTCGTTCGCCTACTCGTTTTCGCACGGCGAGGGAAATACGCAACCCTTATTTTCGCCTCGAGGACGTGTGCACATGCCCGCAGACGATAGGTGCTCAAGGCATCCGCCTGATGTCCCCCCTGACTGTTCCCCCTTCGTGGACCCCGTTCGTTCGTGGTCGTATACCTCCCCCCTTCTCCTCTACCCCTCTATCGATGAATAAAAGACGAACCGGTACGAACGTGGTCGCGAAAATTACAAGCCGGTATATTAAAAGTCGCGATGTCTCCTGTACCTGCAGACAGCGGTGTCGGCAAAACTGTGCCAACCGCTTAATTTACGGCAGGAACGGAACGGCGTCGCCGATAACGAACGGAATTTCGCGGCACATGAAATTTTTCGGAGGACCCGTTTTGCACGAGTTTGACCTGGGACTTGACGAATGAATTCGCGACAACGAAGATAAATAAAACGGTACGAAAATAAACAGGATTAGCATACGTATATCTATGTTTTATTAATTTATTTAAATATGCTTCATTGAGATATATATAAGTTTACTCGTATTTATTAGAATTTTTTAATATTAATTTAGTGCATATTAACGCATTAATTACGTGATAGAATTAAATAATATTGTCATAAATATTTAATACAATTACTAATGGCTTTGCTAACAGAGGTGATATGCAAATGTACAAGTTTCTTGGATTTTCGCAAAATCGTTTTACAGAATAAACCTGATACAATCGCTTTCTTTTCAATACGAGCAGAGCGCGTTCGGAAAACGCTGGCAGTTATCTCGTGAGATCCGTTCAAGCAGACTCCTCCATGAGCGTCCCATCGATCCTATCTCGGCGCACCCGTTTCACTATACAAGAACGATCCAACCGATCTCTACAAGTCGAATCATACGCGCGCAGGTCCGAATCAATGACACCGCGAAAAAAGTAATCGCTCCCCGCTCTTTCCGGCAGCTGCTGAAGAAGAAGAAGAAGAAGAAAAAGAAGTCCTCGAGTTCCACGTAAAAACGAGTTCCATCGTGTGTCCGGTTTGGCAACGCCGATGGTCCATTCACCGTTAACCCCTGAGATAGGTTTGCGGGAGCTCGAAGATCACACCGGAATCTACGCGCGAGGAGGAAGGCGGAGGGGAACAAAACTCGTTATATTCCCTAAAACCGAAGTCCCTGAGTCGAACATACGAGCGTATGATGATACCTGTACGTATTCCTCTTTCCCGTTCCCCTCTCTTTCTCTCTTTCTATAGAGAAAGAAAGAAAGAAATTCCTTCTCCGTCTCTCCGCCGTCTCCTCGCCTGATACGGGCTGGGCGTATCGTTGCGCTCGGTTACCAAACTGGACATAAATTAATCCCGTCAAATGTCCACATTTGTTACCCGATCCTGAGGTCCCCCCTGGCCCGTTCTCTCGGGCACCGCTAAGCAAGGTTAATCTTAACTTATAGGTATGAGGCTTGCGTAAGCCTGTACCCGATCGACTACCTGCCCGCAGCGATGCCCGTTTGCCCGCTCGTCTGCCGGAACCACACCCCGGCACCTTTCTCGAAACCTGGCGCACCTGAATCTAGCAAAGTGGCACGGATTTCTGAAATGCCAGGCAAGCACCGATAAACCGCGATAAATGATCCTGTCGCTGTACGCTAATCGCCAAGATAAGCTAATTAATTTTCAGTGTACGAGCTACTCTCTTCTTTTCATGAAACGTTCGATAAATCGTGTACCTGGCCTGTAGCTTCAAATTTCACTGTTTATATCGATAAGTGGAAATCCGACTCAAAAACGATGTAATGCTACAAAAAGTATTTTCCAGATAACATTTAAAGAAGCAGCTAACATTTAAAGATACAGTATTATATTACGTATATACTCAATTCTTAAAGATATAACATATAGTTTTTTAACTGTATATACATATAAAAAATTAATATAATCATAAAATCGACAGTAAGTTATTCTCATTGTATAGTTAAATCACTGTATTCCTCCCCTCCCCCTCGCCAATTGAAAAATCGACACTAAATCATGCTTTGATGATAGTACAAACCCGCCGTAAAAATGATGCAACAATGAGATACAACCGTAGTACCCGAAGTACAACTAAGGATATCGAGTTACCGGTTTCGCGGGAGCCACCTTATCGGGTATTCAACACGGAGTATGTCGGAGTCTGTCGATCGTTCGATCGCGCTCGTGAATGATCTCGTCTCTAGAAATGGCCACTACGAACATTTGTAAAAGGAGGACGCGCTGGAAGTAGTACCAATGCTAATGGCAAAAAGAAACGAATTTCCGCAAATAGACGCTGACAAATAAATTCACTATTATTCCGAAAACATACATGAAGCACGTAAGAAGCAACGTGTCGTTACTTATATGTCAACAAGTCGAACTGTCAGCGTATATGGGATTTCCCGCGAAAGGACGAGCATTAAAATACATCCTGAGCTATTGTTCCGTTTCATTTCAGAGCGCCATGGGCATTCACATCGAACGTACGTGGGGATAACGCATCCCCATGTCAGGAGTTCCGCTCAAACCGATCGCGTATATTACAAAACGAAATAAATTTGGAAAGAATTGAATGAAAATATATCGCGTGTATGTATGTAAGTGTACACAAAAAAATAAGCAACCCTTCGAAGCAGAATAAGTTTCAAGAGACACATAATTTGTGGTGTGGCGACCCCGCGAAAGGACGGAGCATTAACTACACCCTGAGCTGTTGTTCCGTTTCATTTCAGGGCGCCATGGGCACTCACACTCCCATCGAACGTACGCGGGGCTAACGCATCCCCATGCCGGGAGTCCGCTCAAAGTTATCGCGCTGGCTATAAAACAATACTGCTCCGTTACAACGAGAGAGAGAACATATTGCGGTTATTGTTGAATTAAGTTGCATCGCGAGGAAGGGTGGTGAATTTTGTCGTATGAACATGAATTCACTCGGTCATCGACCTGCTGCTGATTAACATTAATGTAAAAATATAACAAATCTCTTAGATTTTTAATATGTTTTAATATATTAAATTTTTCAAAACTTTCAATTGTGTAGTTCACGCAAAATGCAAAAAAAAACTTTTCGAAAACAGGAGATAAACACATTTTCCCTTATTCGATTCTTTTTTCTCGATCATCTGGAACATATACATAATAAATTCTATCGATCAACCGTTAACGAGTCGTCGACGATAGTGTCATTTAAACTTCGTACCACGAAACGAAAAGACGGCATTCCGCCTCAACATTTTCGTACGTATTTCTCACCGCGCGTGGTACAGAAGGAAAAAAAAGAGAAAAGGGGGTGAAATATCGAGTGCCTTCAGTACCTCTGGCACTTTCATCCCTTCGTGATCGCGCGGCGCCGGTGGATTCAACCTATTCCAGAATCTCCCCGAGGTTCTGGTACGACGGGGTGTCTCGCGATTTATGCAAAATGGTACGTAGCTCCCTCGGGAGCTTCTCAGCCCGGTCGACCCTCTATCTAACACGTGCGCAACTGTGGCGTGTCGGGGGGCCCCCTCGGTGCCACCCCCCGTTTTCTTTTTCGTGGCTTGCGCTCGTCGGGAGGTCGATCTCGGGGCAGAAGGGGCCCTTCGTACCTTACGAACGCGTTTCCTATGTATTCCTCGAGCGAACGTGCGAGCGAATGAAGAAACGAACGCTCGCTCCTCCCGACCCAGATGTTTCGAAATTCTTTCATCCTCCGAAATTCCTGCAGCAACTCAGATAACGTGGCGGCGTGATACACGATGAAACAGCTGTCTGGATTAGCCTATTCAATTGAGTCTCCGCGATTGTGAGTTCAATTGTGATGCCGCATTGTTTTGCGAATTGATTCTTTCGCACGAAAAAAAGGTTTGGAAAAAAAAATAGAATAAAAGAAATTATCGAAGTTCTATCAAATCAATTATCAAAAATTATTTCGGGCAAGCGATTATATGTTATTCAACTGGCGATTATATGTTATTCAACTGGCACGGACAGTTTATCATTAATGTTTATCATTGACAGTTATGTTTATCATTAAAATTAATTATAAACGTACATTAATATCATAAAAAAGAATTAAAAGTTGAAAAAAAGAAAACAATTATACAAATATGTCATGCAATATAAAGCGTACATTTTTATAAATTATAATTGATATGTAGCACGTGTCCGCAGAAGCTTTCATTCTCATCGAAGGGTGTCGGAATAAATAGGCACTTACGAGCCGGATGATCGAGAGGGACCGTGGATCATTTAATTTAATTACCTCGCGGGGGTTAATAGAAGAGATAAAGGTGGCTGCGCTCAGACTGGGATATTGTACATCGTGGCCGAGTGTCGCTCTACAGGACCCTCCAAAAATAAATCCTGCCTTTCTGACAAATGCGGGGAGCATTTTGATTTTCTCCCCCTTCCTCGCCATCGTCGTTAAAAACTTTCGCGTTACTTCACCCCGCATAAGACGTCGGAGCAATTCGATGGCGATGTGAGAACCGTCTACTTTACGTATAGTCGAATCTTTATTAAAATGAAAGTTTTGCAAAGTGAATAATAACATCAATATATTCTAGAAAGCTCCTCTCTATATTATCTCAGACGTTGTTTAATTGCAATCAATTTCATTCTTTTTAGATTAATATTTCCTTGCAAAAAGCATTGTAAAATGTGCGTTATTTATAAAATAATGAATTATGGACAAAAGATATATTTTACAAAGAACAGGTTCTTTCAAAATAAAAATGTACTGGAGCGTTATAGTATTGCCACAGCTAACCCTCGTTCCAGAAGTCAGCGGCGATTTAATTTCATAAACCGCAACTGTTGCCTCTATTTAGTTCGAATGGGAACGCGACTAATAGTTATGATCCCTGCGTCAGATTCTTAATCGAGTTCTTCCCCTCTGGCTGAAATTGCAGCCTGCGGTCAGACTATCAATAACGTTAAACAGCGAAAATTTTCCACGTTATTCTCGTCACGGTATTATAATTTTTCGGTATTTTAAAGAATTACAAAAAAGAACTCGAAGATATTCTCTATTTATTAAGCCACTCCTCTAGCAATACGAATTCTTCGATTGTTCTTGCGACACCCACCGCCTCGAAAATCCGCTGGATTAATTTAGACGTCATCTTTAATCCAAAACCCGGTCTCTCTCTCTCTCTCTCTTTCTCTCTCAGCACGGGCTGCTTCGCCATGCCTATCATGGACCTCAGTTTCTCCTTTGATAATTTCGACGGGCGATCGCATTAACGACATCCCGATGATACGTCGGGAGGGAGCGGGAGTCAGTTCAACAGGACGGGAAGAGCGAGGAGGAGGGACGGTTCAGTGTGCCGCGCGGATGTCTCCAGCATTGTATGCAGATGAAGAAGGCAGGGCGACAATGACTCGGGACGACGGTCGGGGACCTGGGGCCCGTTCGTCTTAAACCGAAAGAAATCCATCCGCCACGAAAGGGGTGTCGCGGGGCTTGGCGGAGGGCTCGGCGAAGGGCAAGGGGAGGAGGGAGAGGAGCTGCCTGCTTTGGCTCGTGCTTGGCACTAGCGTGCTTGCCCTCCTCCGGCACCTCCTTCCAGACACGCTTATGTACTACGCGTCCATACATTAACATGTCATCATCGTGTAGAAACCGAGCTGATCGAGGTGAACCTTCTCCTCTCCTCTTCCTCGCCCTCCCCCTTCCCCCCTCTCGCCCCCTCGCCCTCGCTGCTCGTCCAAGGCTCGCAAGTCGAACGTGCCGTCGTCATCAGACGCAAGAGACGTGACGCCCCCCTGTGAAGAGACTTGCCTCTCTCGAAAGTCTCTCCTCGCTCGCGCGCGGATTCAGCCGGCCTCTTCTTCGTGGGCGTTTTCGTTTGCTCGCGCTGGATATCGCGGGCAATTCGTCACGGAAATTCGTGCCGGGCCGTTTTATAGACGGAATAATTACTTTAAGGCCCTACGCGCGCCTGCCCGTCGGCGTTGTCCTTTTTTGCGGCCGCCAGTCGATTTGTCTGCGGCGAGTCCCGTCCCTGCCTAAGCGCGAGTTAACGTCGCAATCTCGCACCGTCCAAAATTATACGTCTCTATTCGAAGTAATTATTATGACTGCAGCTGAACTCTTATATACATACGTTCTAAAAATTCTAAGAAAATTGAATAAATAAATTTAAGTAAATTTTTTGTTTTCAGACGAGCAAAGAGCGGAGCGATCGGTCACTGGGCAACGACGTAAAAATTCACGTGGTCGCGCGTGATTCGAATTGCGAATGCGACCCGACCTCTCTACACGCGACGCAAATAAAGGATACGCGCGACAAGACGAGAAGCCGCCGCCACCGCCGCGCCGTCGTCGTCGTTTTTAGTGGAACGGAACGGACAGAGGAATCAAACCTTGGAAAATCGTTTACGAGAGAATTTCGGAATCGCGAAGGGAGTTCGGGCCATTTCAACCGGTCGATATGACTCTGGGGGTTGTTTGGCAGATACACGTACACACAGGTACGTATCTGACGGCCCTTCCGCGCCAGCTCTCGTAACGGAAAAGAGGTATATAGACCAGGCGTTGGTGGTGGTGATGGTAGCGATGGTGGCAGCGGCGGCGGCGGCGGCGGCGGCGGCGGCGGCGGCGGCGGCGGCGGCGGCGGTGGTGGTGCAGGAAGGGCTGGATTGGTAAACCGGTCACGTAATGCACGGCGATGAATGGACCCGCCGAGTCGAGCCCAAAGCCGGGAATTGGCTACTGGGCATACCACCGACCATCTACCCCACTGCGTCAGCTTTAGCCACCCCACGGCAACGTAAAATTACAAAGAGGTGCTCAAACCTGAGCTATCTCGCGTATCTGCCGTCACGCAAATAGAGACGGTGGGTTGCTGCGAAAATTCCGGGCGCGCGACGCGTGTTTCGTTTTGGGGGGGAAAAAAAAGACTGGGATGATGCGACGTAATCGATCGATTAC